CCATTATTAACCCTGTTAATACCTCTATTCAGTTGTTTACTGTGTGTTTGCGTAGGATGTTGTATCGTTGATTCAATCAAAAAGAAAGTCCTAATACTATCAGCCTTAGTTTACACTCAAATACCTAATCCTTCCGAAGACGAGGACTTTGAGTGTGTGTCTATGACCAGTATTAGATAAATTAACGATGTATTCATGTTTAATCATATAACAATCTGGCAGTAGTCAAGGGGGCATGTCAGGAGGTGATGTGACTCCACCAGATTGTTGGTTAAGACATTAAGTGACATGGCTACCCGTGACTGGTATTCGGTGATGCAGTGGCGGAGGAATGAGACCTTAACCTGCACTATCATGCGGACCGTGCATGATCGCTAGTAGCCTAACCAATCAGAAGTTGCTCCTAGAGCGTGACTGGCCGGACCAGCATGCTGAGGCCTCCAGAATGTTCCATCAAGGGGGGGCCCTGATTGGCTAGGGAGTCTATAAAGGGGACTGTGCGCCTCAGCGTAGGGTCCCCAGACGCTCCCGAACTCAGGAAGACAGCCTGATCACCTGTCTTGTCTGGACAGACCCCTAGGCCTCTAGCTAGATTCCTAGCATAGGCTACCACAGCTTATAGCTAGACAATGCGCTATCCGGAACGCCCTGTGTGTTGCCCAACTAGGCATCATACTTGTCCTGATAGTATTTTCGGCTGCAGTCAACCTTCACGATTACACCTTGCTTGTTACTCGCCGCTACCCATCAGTTGTTCATTTTTCTACCTGTACCACGTCGTCTGTGTCTACCTGCCACTGTAAATAGTATTCAACTCGTTAATCATCTTGTTGGTTTGTAAGTAAATTTATAAATTTTCTTCACCTACTACTTGTCGCGCTTTTTTCCTCTCTCACACTTGGCATCCCCGAGCGTGTCTGGGTTGGTGTCACTACTCAGTGCCCCACTTGACACGCAACTGAGGCCATTTTCCAAACACCATCCTTGAATTATGGCCCACACTTACCAGCACTTCTAAGCCATATTAGATTTCTTCTTGCTTTCTCAACAGCAGCCAGGCACCTGGTTGACTCTAATTTCAAGGCACTTTCACAACAGATCTTTTGCCTATCTAAAATCTGAGTTTGCTGTTGGGGATCATGACTGTTCTTAGCTTGTTGCAGCCCACATACTTTTAAGCAAGCTACTTAGGCAGTGGTCAGTCACAGTTTCTAACTGTGGACTTCAGAGATGCACACCTTCTGTCCTGGGAGGTGAAACAGTCCAGCTACTCTAGGTCCTAAAACCAATGCTCCGACCCAGTGGTCTATGCCTGTTTCTTACAGGGCATAAATTCTGTGGCTGCTCAGAGTCCTAGTTCAACTACAAGACAAATAAAGCAAGGAACACAGGTGTTGTGCAGGAGTTTCTAAAACCACAGTAACCTTTCCTCTCAAAGGACATAAAATTAAGAGATTAAGTAAGCGGTGTTCTGTCCTTGACCTCTCTAGGCAGTTACTGTTATTCAAAACATAAGCCACATTCTCTATTATGGTGATTACAATGCAAAGGTCACAATTTGTTACAGGCTTGTATAAACATACCAGTCTGTCACAGATGGTATAAGGTGTGGGCCATAATTCAAGGATGGTGTTTGGAAAATGGCCTCAGTTGCGTGTCGAGTGGGGCACTGAGTAGTGACACCAACCCAGACACGCTCGGGGATGCCAAGTGTGAGAGAGGAAAAAAGCGCGACAAGTAGTAGGTGAAGAAAATTCATAAATTTACTTACAAACCAACAAGATGATTAACGAGTTGAATACTATTTACAGTGGCAGGTAGACACAGACGACGTGGTACAGGTAGAAAAACGAACAACTGATGGGTAGCGGCGAGTAACAAGCAAGGTGTAATCATGAAGGTTGACTGCAGCCGAAAATACTATCAGGACAAGTATGATGCCTAGTTGGGCAACACACAGGGCGTTCCGGATAGCGCGTGGTCTAGCTATAAGCTGTGGTAGCCTATGCTAGGAATCTAGCTAGAGGCCTAGGGGTCTGTCCAGACAAGACAGGTGATCAGGCTGTCTTCCTGAGTTCGGGAGCGTCTGGGGACCCTACGCTGAGGCGCGCAGTCCCCTTTATAGACTCCCTAGCCAATCAGGGTCCCCCCTTGATGGAACATTCTGGAGGCCTCAGCATGCTGGTCCGGCCAGTCACGCTCTAGGGGCAACTTCTGATTGGTTAGGCTACTAGCGATCACGCACTGTCCGCATGATAGTGCAGGTTAAGGTCTCATTCCTCCGCCACTGCATCACCGAATACCAGTCACGGGTAGCCATGTCACTTAATGTCTTAACCAACAATCTGGTGGAGTCACATCACCTCCTGACATAAGGCAGAAATAAATGATCACTTTTTAACGTGGCTATCTATAACTAAGTTCAAAATGTAAATATGCAAGATAAAACAAAAATGATTATTAAAATTGTAACAGAAGTGAGCACTGCTTGCTTAAGTGCTCAATTATTGAGTCAGGCGCCAAAAGTACAAACAAGCCAACCAACCAATGTTTTTCTTCTTCTTCACTTTCTGGTTGTTGAAAGTGTGAGGTATACTCTAGTCAAGTTTACAAGCCTAGCTCTTCAACCTCTAGAGTTAAAAAACTTTCTTAAAAAATACTGAGATTTTTATTTGATTCCAAAAGGGTGATTAAGAAAAAATTACTCTCAAAGGAAACAAGACAGTCAAACGAGTCAGAAAATTAAATAGTAACCTTCAAGAGTTTTCCTTTAACAGAGGCTATTTTTGCCTCCTTTTAAACTGAGTATATTTTGGACTGTTATCCAGAAGGTCACACACTTTGTTTCTTAGAAAGGCTGAGATGTACATCCAGACAGACCTCTTGCCCTCTGGATGAGGAGGAGAATCATCAGCTTATGGGAGGAGCAGGTTCTTCCAAACAGCATCATTTCCACTAAAATCTGGCCCACAAAACACCCATTAAGTTTTACAGGAAAGGAAACAAGTGCCACCAAGTTGAACAGAGCAAGTTTGACCAGTTAATGTTACTGCTAAATCAGAGAAGTAGGCTGTGTTCAAGGACTGAGCACAGGGTGGGGTGTCTGAAAACACAGGGAATTTATACACAACTTTTCATCTTGTGATGCGCCGGAGATCCGCCTCTGCACCACGTGCAGTTGTACAAGTGGTGAAATGTGCATTAGCATGCAGAAAATAACAGTGGTGCGCTTTTGAACTAAAGCACCTTCTATGTATTTTAGTTCAAAAGCATGCCACTGCCATTTTCTCAGCGCTGAAGTGCATTTTGCCACTTATACAACTGTAAGTGACGCAGCGCCGGGCACTTTTCAAAGCACCCAGCACTGTGGTGCTTGCATGTGTAAAGATGCCCAGAACTTCTGTTCTCAAGTCTCCCCCTGTTTTGCCTTTGACAAGTCGCTTCTCAGTTTTTCCCACCTCTAAAAATACATATGCTGTTACTTACCCACTTTTGCAAACCAGTTTGACATGTCTGAAAAGTGATAGAAGTCAGAGTACATAATAGTGTCCCATTTAATGAAGCATCTCGTCTGCTTTGCGCTGTAAACATTATCACTCTAATGATGAAACTTCAGTTTATCTGTACTCTTTTCAAAATATTTTTCTTTTTTTGTAATTTCAACTTGAGTGCCTAACTTTAAACATAACTGAGAGAAGCTGTTTAATGAAATTGTGGAATGTGAGAAACCCACACTGGTGGCTGGCTGCACTCAAATAAGTTCCTCAGTTACAAATATGACTATACTGAAATAAAACAAAGGTATGAAAGAGCAGATATGCGTTTTGTGTTCTGAAACCAATAGCTGGAGATTAAGTCATTTGTATAGCAAAATCTGCAATAAAATACAATTGCCTGCTTTTCCATCTACTGTGACTTTAAAGATTAAAAAAACCTCAAATTCCGTGTAGAGAGTATTTTATTTGTTCACATTTACCCTATTGGTGGTTAAAAACCACATCATCTGACAGTTTTAAAAGCATTCTTTTAAAACAAAAGAATCAAACAGCAGCTTTAGCTAAAAAAAAATCTGGAACAGTTACATGAACATAATATACAGTAGTATAAAAAAAATCTACAGTATTCTGGTGGAAATATTCTGAAGACAGCATATAGACTTTAGGCATGTAGGAATGACCCTGAACTGAACCACCGTGAATTAGAAAACAGCTAACAAAATAAAAAAAATCTTGAATATTTGTATAAAAAAAGCAAGGATTCAAAGTGCAGGTGCTCCAGTTTTCATTTTAAAAATGAAATTGATACAGGATACTATTCATTTTATATAAAGTGACAGTGTAAGACTTAAACATTCAGTTACATTATCTTTCAGAATTTTTTCAGTTTACATTACTTCTACTTTACAGCATTGTAAATGAAGACTTATGCAATACAGATTTTAAACTTCTTAATCTAACAAGGATATATGACATTGGTGGTAAAGGTTAGTTTAAAGAGCTGAATATTGCAGATAAACTGCAAATCCAGGTACAGAAGTATTTTTTTATATTTAAAAAAATCTTTCCCATTGTCAAAAGGGACACTATCAGTCCATCTGGGTGTCTCCATACATCTTTGGGGCAAAGTAGTGAACTAAGGCATCTTGCTAAGGAAACCCTGGGTTTGAGTGTCCCTCTGGACTTGCACCAAGGACTGTTCCTCATTCCAGCTGCAAAACAGATACCTGAGCTTTCAGACTGGGAAAGCCAAACAGGCTATCTGTGATGCTAGCACCATCCCTCCCTTGCATGCTACTGGCTACAGTAACTGGTATGCCTCAACTAATTGGCCCAATGCACCACTTAAACTCAGGACCAACTTTTGATTTCTTTTTCTTTTAAATATACTTTCCTTAGGCAAAGGAAAACAGGTCCCAGGCAGTATCCCTAGAGTGGTCTTTCATATATTAAAAAAACAAAAAAACAAGGCATTGGTTAAAACTGGTTAGCCTCTTTTTAAAAAATACATGGTGTTGGGGGGCAGGGGAGAGGAAAAAAAAGGGATGCTGCATTACACTTCCTTTCAAGTCCTATGAAGGTTGACAGTGTCCCTTTAAATTTTAGAGATATCGCCTATCTTGTCAATAATCCAACCTTTTTTTTAGGCCTGTTTTAAAAATGCACGCGAATATCTGGTATTCAGTTTATAGTAAAATGGAGGACTAATCTTTACCATGTTTATATTGACAGCAAGGTTAATAATACACACGTTTCACTGACAACTGTATTTTTTCTGTATTTTGAATAAAATTTGCATTCTTGTAACATTTCCCACAGAAAGAATGATTATAGTTCAAGACAGTTATGTTTGCACTCCAACATTTTCACATTAGTGAAAACTACCATTTTTTGAAGATACCAGGATCTGTTCCAGGTACTAATAAATATGTAATAAAAATAATTAAATAAAAAACAAAGGCCGCCCCCCCTCAACTGTTGTCTCAGCCTGACATCGTAGAAATTTCATAATCACTTGCTGAAGTTATTGGCTTGCCCATCATCCTTACATTCTTAGCATTAGTAATTCTAGCCATCATAGACACTGGCTTATCAAAGTATCTCACCAGGGCTGGCTCAGTCAAAAGGGAGGCTAAAAATTGCTCAAAGGTGATGGCCCAGTCTCTGTCAATGCTAGGGCTTCTAGGCAGAGAAGTGTTGTGACTGCTTCGCACCAAAACTGTATCTTCACCTATGTCCTCACAGTGCAGCTTTTCCTCTTCGTGTGAGCCTGCACTCAGTACTGAATAGGAGGACATGGAGCTGTCATCTTTAGTATCATCATCAGAAATAAGCATGGAAGAGCAGGCTCCATTGTCCCTGGGAGACGAATCCTCAAGCTTAATATCCTCCATCTGTGCACCCAATGAGTTATCCGTGCAAATAGTCTCATCATTGGCAGTAAGGCCACCTTGGAACGATTCCTGCTGTTCAAGGGGATACTGCTGGCTTTCCTTTTTCTGGAACAGCCCACTCTGAAGAGCTGTGCTGCAGCTTTTACTGCCCCTGTCTATTTCTTTTGTAGACTGGATAGAGAACAGTTTACCAACCTCACCTATCTCCAATAGCAAACTTGTCACAGCAGCAGTAGCGTGGTAGAGATCTTGTTCATTGGGGTCTTCACTGAACATATTATACATTGTCTTGCATAATTCAATGAACTGGCCCTATGCACAGAGGAAAAAGAATAACTAATGAAAGGGAAGAGAGCAAATTTAGTCCCTGAGACCTGGTTATAAAGTCAGAATAAAGAAATCTCAAATTCTTTATTTTGGAGAATAAAGACTGCACCTAGCATGTACATCTTTGTGTGCATACTAGGACATCAAGTAATTCATGTGATAAAGTTAAAAGCAATCTTGCTGTTCTACAATATTATCTATGATCTGAAAAAATGCTATTTTGTACCTCTCAAAGTTATTGCCATCAAAGAGTGGATGTTGCTAATATCTACCTCGCCCACTGGTACAATTATTTCCCATCAGTTCCATGGTACAATGATTGTTCAGGCTATCCTCACCAGAAAATAGTGGCTCTAAAGTGGGTTCCTAAAAAGCTCAAAACTAACATTGACTCCATCTACTGCTTGTATCTTGGGGCATGTGACAAAGTTTCTAATGAATATGAGGACATTAAAAGTCAAGTAAAGGGATCTTGGGGTTCCATCAACAATCTGAAGGTCTGGAGCAAAAAAAGGTACCATTATTGTAAATGGTAATCTAATTGAACACTCAGCTTTCAGTCTTCAGAATCACGTAATATGCATGGACAGAATAATAAACTGGAAGGTAGTGTGAATAGGGAGCAACTAAACATAATGCAGGGAAAAAAAGTAGTGTTTAGGCTATTTGACTGCAGAAATATCTCCGATGTAAACGGCACAGGTCTTGTTTTTAAAAATTAATTTTGGTCTAGATAAAAACAGGTGAATTACTGTTAGGGAATAACCCTTCACAGCTACTAACGGAAAGAAAAGATGCTGTATAGGTCTAAGGAATGAGCCAGTTAAGATTTTTTTTGCCAGTATATTGATCAACAGAATACAGAACTTATTTTTGAAATCCTAGAAGTGGCATTATCCTCCCAGGGCATTTTTAAATGATAGTGAACAATCCTCATACATTAAGCTTGGCCCACCTCTTTTCCATTCTTAACAAAGCCATTTTAACTTTGCAACATTTTTAAATGAAAGTATAATTTAAAACTTGGAGTAAATGTTAGTTTTGAAACTGCATCTACTGCTTCTATTTTTGGGCATATGACAAAGTTTCTAAATAATATGAAAAATAATAACACAGTAAATATCAACAACATACCTGATTCAGTTTGGGCAAGTCCTTTGTGTTCTTAGCTCTGGATTTATTTTCTTGGCTCCACATTCTCAGGTAGTTTCTATTCTCTTGAGAGTTTTTCTTACCTAATGTAAACAAATGGCCCAGAAAAGGAAAAGGGAAATCCATCAAATCATGTTGAATTAGCATTTGTGTGGGGTAAAAAGAAACTAGTTTTCAAGCAGTAACATTTACAGACTAAATACATACCTTTATCTGCTTTCAGACTAATGGTGACAAACCCATCATCTGCTCCTTGTTTGTTCCTGCTGTCTATGCCAATAACTGTTGGCAAGTAGTGAAAAAACAAGATTTAATATAGCTAGAGATATGCGAGTACTGTTTTCATATTTGCATTGCAACACAAAGAATCTGTTTATCTTTAAAAAAGGGCAGTGTTAATAATGGAGTAAATTATGCCCAACTTTTTGCTTATTCTTACATCTACTTACATGTTCCATACAATTAACAATTTATATATTTACATATATAAAGACTATCCTTTGTACACTACAATGGTCTAGACAATGACTGGGACTCGCAGGCGCTACTGCAATTGAAGCAGTAATACTACCACCACATACTAATGTGATATCAATATGGTAAACTGCATTTATCATATGCATCTACTTACTTCACCTACATTTTCTCCATTAAGCTGTCTCCCATGAGACTGGGGGAAGTTATTAGTGTGAACAGAGAAATATTTAGTGTCTTGAATACTGAAGAGACAAGATAATGTACTTATGGGGTTGGGGGCAGGGCATGACCCACCGTGTGTACATTCTGGTGTAATGTCTTCAAAAAAGTACTGAGTTGCTTCAAAAGCAGAATCTGGCTCCTCTTGCTCAGGGGATGGATCTGTGCAACGAAGGAAAAGAGCTTGACTGCATTGTCTGGTTAGAAAAAAATCACAACAGATTTGCCACAATTCATTTTCATGTTCAAACTTTGGAAATATACCATGACAGCAGCTACACTTATGTCAGCTGGAACAATAAAACTGTACACCCAGAAACCCATAAATTTAACTCTCAAAGATTAGAGCGATTATTCCATAGCTGTCCCCTGTTGGATTTCTTGCACTTTCCTCCAAAATGTCTGGTACTGGCCAGTCACTATCAGAGATGGATCAGTGGCCACCAAATGGATCAGTGGCCTAATCTGCTATGACAGGGCTGTCCGACTTCCAGGTAGCCAGGGACCGCATACTTTGCAAGCCACAGATCCAGGGGCTTACACAGCAAGCTCCAATGAGCAGCCTGTCCCCATCTCCTCTCCTTGGCACGGTGCAGGCAGCCCAGCTTCCCTTCCTCCCCCCTCACTGAGTATGCCACATGGGCTGCCCAGCTCTACCCCCTCACTATGCATACAGTTGTGTGTGTGTCGTTCCCCCCCTCCACCAAAATCTCCCAGCTACACAGGCAGCACACTCCAGCACAGGCACCCTGGCTCCTCCTGTGCTGTGCACACAGCCAGGGCAGAGGGGGCAGTGGCAGGGAGTGTTGCTGTGTGTGTCACACAGCATAGGAAAGGGGAGAGCTTCTCAGTACCCCTTGCCACATGTACCACTTGGGCAGCCCCAGAGCACAGGCAGCCCAGCTCACCCTGTACAGCCAGGAGGAAGAGTGTTGCTGCATGCGTGTATGGGAGGAAACAGCTAGGCTGCCCAGCACCTCCCCACCTTGCCACACACAGCCTGGCTAGCCCAGCTCACCTCTCTCTCCGCCATGTGGGCTGCCTTCCTATCCTGCAGCACAGGCAACTTGGCTCACCCCTGTCATGTGCACAGCACACTGTCCCACTCCCCTGGCTGCATGCACCACCCACCAGCAGTGTGGACAGTGCATTTCCCTTCTTTGCCACACAAGCAGCTCAGTCACTCCAGCCCCCTCCTGGCTGCTGCAGCAGGAGCAAATGGGTAGGGGAAATGGTAGTGGGGCAGCAGCCATGGACTGCGTGCTACCCTTCCAGGGGCAACGTGACCTGCAGGCCACCACTTGGGACAGCCCTGTGCTATGACATATATTGGTATCTCAATGATCTGTAAATTAGATCAAGGAGATGGATCAATTGGGTAGGATGTTCTACTTTCCTACAGACTGTCCCTCTTCCTATACCCCCCTATTGATGGGCAAATGGCTCTTTGTTTATCCTCTCTCATATTCCCTCAGATCCTGACTTGCCACTCCATCTCTAAGCTTTTGATACTCTGTTCCATGTGCTTGTGAGAGTGCTGTGCAAACTGCCTTTGCTAGTTGGAAGCATTGTAGGGACTCCACAGCTCATCATAAATTGCACAAGACAAGAGCACTCACTACTACTTTTTTTTAAAAGACAATAGAATTTCTGGCCTTGAGTTAGAGTTCACTGATTTGCACTTCAGTAAGTATTGTCATGCTAGTTTAGTCTCAACACCAACACACACTGAAAGTGGTTAGGTCCAGGTACAAATCACATGACAAAAGGTCTCCTAGCATCTTTTCTAGCACTTGGGCATCTTCAGACAGGTACTCAAGCTACACACATTTAAATAACTAGGACTATTCAAGCACTTATAGTCATTCATGGGTGTAAGCACCATATTGAAGGGAGCCTCAGACAAGAATAGTTTCTTTGCTACAATATTTAAAAAAGGGATGTCACCAAATCACCAGGACACTAGCAGATGGCCTTTAAAAATGGTCCATGTGACAGGCAGAGCAGAAGACTGAAATATGTACAGAAAGATCCCCAGACCTATTGAGGAGCCAAAGCCTTATTTTACCCCTTCACTTTCTTAACAGCTGAGCGAAAGCCCACTCTTCCATTTTAATTTGCCAGATTGAGTGGTCACACTCAAATTTTCTGCTCTGAGAAGTCAGGGGGTTTGTTTGTTAGGTGTTTTTTTACATTTACTCACCAGGCAAAACATGCATTTTATAAAGCAGCTTCAGTTTTTCTGTAAGATCTCCATGGCATGCTGCACCTGAATCAGATTATATTAAATGCATTAGTACTGCTAATATTTTGTACTTCCTCAGTTGCTTAAGTTGAGGAGTTCAGGGAGCTTCATGAACATTTATGAACTATTCCTTAACTATTTTAGATAGCTTGGAAGGTATTGCCTGGAAACAGAAGCAAGTCACTTGACTTATAAGATCATGCAATGAGTCTGTGGTCGAACTGGGAATAGAACAGAGACCACCTGACTCAGTTCTATGCTTTAAACACTAACCCATTATTCTTCACTTAAAATGCCTTTACATTCGCAGCTCTCAAAAACAGCCTATTATTGTCATATTATTACTTTAATAGCTATAGGGGAGGGTTTTATTTGAAAAGAGCATTTGTGTATGCCCCACAACTGATAAGCTGTGGACCAAATAAGAGCATCATATGACTTAAAACAATTCAATGATTTCTGACAAAGACCTGGGCAGACAAGACCATAATCAAAGATTGACTCTGGGAGAAACTATTCTCTGGTTTTAAAGTAATGCTCAGCACAGATACTACTTGGACTGTGAAAAAAATGAGTAATACAATATTCTAGTATTCCACTGTAATTCTTTGAATGTTTAAATTACTCAATCATTTAACATTTAAATATTCTATAATCACCTATCTTTAGGCAAAAATCAGATGACTGAGGTAAAATGGAAATGTATTTCACCTTCCAGTTGAATGTATTAACTTAATTCCATTAAGTAAAATGAAACAGCAAATGTTTTTTTGACAAATACCGACAGTCTATTGTAAGTATGTTTAAAAACGCAGAGAAATTTTATACTGAAACAAATTACCAAGACAAGTTTTGACTGCTTTCCAAAAAAAGAAAAAGATGAATAGAGCACTAATGTTTCCAGCTCTTTCATATACAAGGCACCTGCATAGAACTAGCACATACCAAACCATTTAATATTTAACACACCATCAGCATTTCTGATAGACTAAGTCATATTTAGAAACAGGCTGTTTTGCTCAGGATATTTTAAGATCGTACTATGAATTTGCCTTACTCAGCCCAGAAACAAATTCCCGGAAGTTGATCAGAGAATCTCCATTTTCATCCAGCAGTCTGAATAAGCGTGCAGCTAACACATCTGAGTGGGTCCCACAAGCCCAAGGAAAGAGGAGAGCAAACATCCCCTTGAACTGCTCAAAATCAATGCGGTACTGTTCCAGATAAGGCAAGCTGGGGTCATGCCGGTCAATAGCATTGCTGTTCCCTCCCCAGTAGCAGCTAGTCAGATGTTCTGCCTGAACACAAGGCAAATGCTGTAAGACTACTGCCATTTCTTTAAACAGCTCAACAATACAAAGTTATGTAGTAAATAAAATAACCCCCCCCCAAAAAATACGTATTTAAAAACAAGAAACATCATTTGAGTTTAGCAGCAAGATTTCTATCCAACAAGCACTGGCACTTCTAAAAAAAAAAAACCAAACCAAACCAAACCAAAAAAACCTCAGAATGACTTTCCTTCAGCCAATGCAATGTCAAATTCCTTTAAGAAACAGAAGTGAATCTAGTTCTGGTCCCCCAAAAAACATAGACGTAAATAGTTGTTGCAACCAAGGTAGTAAGGTGTGCCTCAAATAAGGTGTCATGCACCCGGTCTTGTTTTTTCACAGCTAAGTAATGTTTCAAGTCAAGGTAGGGGCTAATTACAAAACACTGATAATTCTGAACAAAAGTCTGTCTGCATTTTAAATATTCTTTCAGGAATACCTGCACGATCTGAAACATATTGGATTAGGGTCTTATCCTGCTCCTGCTAAATCAAGCAGAGCTTTAGAACTGATTTTAGTGGGACTGGGAGCAAGTCTATAGGCACTGATTCTGCAGTGTGATCCACCAGGTTGGACTGCCTCTCTGTACAAGTTTTACCACTTTCAGAAGCAGAGAATATGCATGGGAGACAGGCTAGAAACTTGTATGACAGGATTGTCAATCCAATAAGTATTGAGACTAGTAACAGGGGAGGCAAAGAAAAAAGAAATCCCTATTCACTATTCCAGAAACTGACCAACCAGAGGAATACAACCTATTGTTGTGTGTATGTCACAGAGACTGAAGAAGGGCAAAACATTGTTAAAAGGGAGGTTAAGTTAACCACTGGAACAATATTCTTTGCAATAGGATAGATTTCCAATCATTTGAACTCCCAAATTCAAGTCTGAAGGTCTTTCTAAACAATGTGCCTTTGCTCAATCAGACATCTTGGTCTTAATGCAAGAAGTGCTTGGTGAAAGTTTTTAGCCTGTGTTACACTCGAGGTTGGATTACAAGCACAAACAAGCAAGTAAACAATTTACAAGTTAAAAGAGGAATGGGAATGGGATTAACTGTCGAGTGGCTGGTGCATGGTCTCTGTATGTCCACACTTATCTCAAAATAAATGAAGATACACCACAATAAACTCAGCTCTTGTACATCTAGGGCTAAATTAGCTCAGTTTAGCTTGCATTTACTGCTGTTAACTGTTTTTGTTACTGTGGAACAGTTGATTTGCAGTAAATGAGATTTACTCACTGTCATTTGCTTGTCTCTCTTTTAGATTATTATACTGGCCCCTTCTGGCCTTGAAATCTACAAACCTTATCTCATTCCCCAGCTTTTACTTACTATTAGAATGCTTTACTTCAAGCCAGCCCCTTGACAGCAAATTAAATTACCGAAGATTTAGCATAAATTAAATCCATGAATGTTAACAAGTAGTTACTAACATGCAACAGTTATGGGCTATTCAAAATTTAGCAGAAGGAAGATATTTCTCAACCAAATTTTGTCCTCAGATGATGTCCCCAAATCAGGTAGAGACATGATCTAGTTGGGGCTGGTCCTGCTTTGAGCAGGGGGTTGGACTAGATAACCTCCTGAGATACCTTCCAACCCTAATTTTCTATTATTCTATGATATATATTTAATTGGGGGCTGATTGAACAGGTGGCCCCAAATGCATGTCTTTTCTTTCTTCTCCTAGGTTTCTTTTCTTTCTTCTCCTAGGAAACTGATTTCCGCAGGATTTTTTCAATCTAATTATTTAGACAAATAATTATTTCATCAGTTTTCAAAATATTGCTCTCCTGTATTTTCAGTTGTCTTTTGGCCATATTTATCCAGTTGCTAATTCCAATTTTTGTGAAGGCACAGGATAGCACTAACCAACTCACAAATTTAATCAGTTCATTAAAAGACACTTTGTTTTCACATCACATCAATATGTATTTCCTGCATACATATAATCTTGACTTCAGCTTTACCTTGAAAAGAGCGTAGAGTTCCTCCAGTTCGTCAATGGTAAAAGAAGTCTCAGTTACAATGGTTCGTACCTTTTGAAATGTAACATTAACATTAAAAAACTTACTATAAATGTACCATTTAAAAACTACTTTTATTTCAGAAAATAAATAACCCCTACATCTTAAAGGGTGATAATTCAAAGACTTACCACATTACGCTTTGTAGTGTCTTCAAGGGTTTGGATCACTTTCAGTCTCTGTTTGAATCTCATCTGTTCAATCAAATCTGCTCGTATACTTCCAAATTTCTAAAGAAAGAGGGAGACAAAATAGACTTTGTATCTGTATATTACTATCTGGAACGCTTCATTTGCTTCTTGTGCTTGAAAAAGTAGAAAGGTATTCCCTCATTCTGAAAGTGTTCATAAAAAGGTATCAGGTGCACATCTCTGACAAACAATCTGGTAGAAGTGAGAGCAGGGTGGCACCTTAGAGAGTAACTGGTTCAGAAAGGTATGAGCTTTCATAGCATAGCAACAGGTGTCTCTTTACATAAGTGGCAAATTATTGTGCTTCAGATAATACTACTTTCTGACTTAGTTCTCAGAGTCAGTACACCACCAATGCAAGTGTCATGAGATAGGTTCTAAGAGAGAATTTCCAGTCCTTCGGGGAAAAAAGTGAATACGATGTCCTTTATGTTAAAGGAAACGGTCACTTTCCAGCACATCTTGCTATTTTTGCACAACTTCCAATAAAACTAAATGGATAAGGGTTATATTATTTCCCACATGGTGGCTCTGACCAGACAGAATATTCTTTGCAATAGGAAAGTATAATAGATGTATTGAATGACACTGAATGACAGACTGCCCTCATTATCTATTGGAAGATGTAGAAGACCTGACAGAAGGTCTGCCATAAAACCAACCTAACCCCATCTGCACCACACCAAGAGAGAAAGAAAAAGAAAGGTTCACATGCGGCACACTGCCTAGATTTAAATACACTAAAGGCAAAAATATTTCTTTAATAAGAGCATTAAATGATACTTAGCTAAATTTATCACCAATTTAAATGTCTGTACTCTAGGGCAGGGGTCAGCAGCCTACAGCCTGAAGGCTGGATCCCATTTGTGGAGCTATTTCCTTCAGCCCACGGATGTGGGGCTTTGGTGACATTTGGCATCAGGTGGTTTCTGCAGCAGTCACTCTCACATGCCAATGCAGGGAGAACTGGTGGCTTTGGGATGACTCCCCTTGCCGCTGCAGGAGAAGTGGTGGTGGTGGCCTGGTCTTAGCACCTACCTGTCCCAACCTGAGCTAGGTCGTTGAGGTATGTTTTTATAAGTTTATATTCACCTAAAAAAAACCTATGGTCTTTGGTGTTACGTGAGCCCTTAAAATGAAGACTGTGGCTCCATATGAGGCCAGTTTATTTATCCCTAGTTAAGGTCACAGAAGTCTTTAAAAAAAGTTCAGAATTCAGAACTATGCACAGCTGGATGGAGGCCTTATATCAGTGGTCTCCAACCTTTTTAAGTCAGAGATCACCTTTGGAATTGAAAAGGACCCCAAGATCTTATCCCCGCAGCCCAGCAGGGGGGAGGGCAGGGGAGGGTGCAGATCGAGACCCCAGCCCTAGCCCCACTCCTTCCCTCACTACTGGGGCCTTGATACCCCCCGCCAACGCCGGTGAGGTAGGGAGTGGGGCAGGGGCAAGCCTTGGACAGCCGGGACAGGGTAGGGGATGGAGCTACTATTGTCTCGTCCAGGGGGTGCGGCAAGGGGAGGAACATGCAGCCCAGGAGGGAATGGGGGGTGCATGTGACCGGATCTGCACGTGGGGAGGGGCGGACTTGGCTGGGGCCGGGGCAACAATGCACTATTCCAAGCAAGGGTGTTTGGTTGCGCTGTGCTCAGGCTGGGTGGCAGGGGCGCTGGGAGTGGGGGCTGGGGGGGGGGCCTATGGTGAATTTTGGGTTGGCTGCAACTCCCCACCCTCTTCCCAGCGATGCTGCTGCCCGGCCTAAGCGCAGCATGACCAAACACCCCCGCTGGGAACAGCGCAGTGCCCCCCAGCCTTCCCCACCCCATGTGCAGATTTGGGGGCACGGGGCCCATCCCGTATGCCCTCCTGGGCTGTGTACCCCCCCACTCCCTGCAACCCCTGGATGAGCCACTTGTGGGTCCGTCCCCCGCTCTGCCCCAGCTGTGCAGGGCTTGCCCGTCCCAATCCCTACCTCACAGCTGCTGCAGCCACCCACTCTGCCCTGCCTTTTGTGGGGCATGTGCTCCTCCCCCCCTGTACATGGATGACATGGCATCAGGGCGCTCCTGGGCCAGAGGCTGCAGGGTTTGGGGCACAAAGCTCAGCCTGCAGCAGTAGTGGCCTCTGCTGTGCACAGATGGGGGCAGGGGGGGCATGTGCAGCATGGGGCCTCCACTGGGGTGCACACAGCAGGGGGAGCCCCTGCCCCCACCCCTGGACGAGCCACATGGGCTTGATCCTCTCCCCCCACCTGCCGGGCCATATAAAATATATAACATTTAACATCAGGGATATTTTCTGACTATTTTATAATGTAAAACATAAGGACTGGAAACAAACACTTACTCTTTTGGTGTGAAATGTTTTAGTTTTGCAGTTTTTTGTGGGCTTGAGTATGCACTTTATAAGCATTGGTTAATTAATTAGTTTTTGCTTCTTTTGCTTTAACTCTTCCAATTTTCAGTTTTGTATGCCCACCTAAATTAGCAATCTGCAAAAACTCTTATCGACCTATTACATGCTAGAAAAGATGTTAACAAAATAAAAAGTCTTTGTAAAATCCAGTCCATTGCCCCAAAATTTCAGTTGAAATAAAAATTAGAGTGTCAAAACTAGTTTGCACTTTTTAAAAATGCAAATGTTTTGCCTTTTCATTTTGAAGTAACTTCAGGTTTGGAATGCTCTTATCTTACATTATAATGTAACATGAAAAATGTATATTGAAAACAAATGTTTCAGTCAATTCAATCTTTTTTAATTTTCTTTTCAAGAGAGTTTTGAAATGTGTTTAATTATTATTCAAAGGCCTTCATGTAACGGAATTGCTGTCCACTGGCTAGCTCTAGGTAATATCCTAAATTACCTCATAGGAAGTCCTGATGAGTCTGAAGATATCCACCTCTGGATAAGGCTCAACATCATCGCTGAGTAGCGAGTGAAGATGAGGAATTGGTGGTAAAGTACTATCCTTATTGGTCACACTGTCCAAATACCTAGAGAAGGAGAAAAAAATTACCATGAGAAAGCTCAGCATGGCTTCCCTCCCCTCTTTCACTCCCCCTGAACTAAACTCAGCTGAGTTCATATAAGCATCCCTGAACCGCTTCCTATTAGTATATTCCATTAGTTGAACGGGATGCCTATTTTGCCAGTCCCTGTCACATTGTTTCTTTCCAGAAATGAATTAGTTGGGTTTTCTTTAAACTCAAAACATTTGCCAGAAGCAGCTCAAATCTAGCTGATTACAGCTAGATGGTACAATCTGCAAGCGACTGATTGCAATGGGCAAAATAGGTTTTTAAAATGTTTTGTTTGAGATTCTTATTCAAAGCAAGAGATGTGGGACACCATACACCTCACGACTGCTAGAACAGAGGCTTGGTGTGCTTCAGCCTTGATCTCCCCTATTTAACCCCCCAGCTGGCTGTAATGAGCTTCAACTGCTTTTCCCTCAAGATAACTTAGCTGCTGTTCACTATCTGTCTTCCACCCTGCAACTGCAGAACACTTTCCAAATCCCAAACACTTTATAAATCATCAACAAGGGTTAGAGCTTACTTCTGAGCAGGAAGATGAGACCAGTATCACTTTATCCTAATTAAAAAAGGACCCAGATTGGGCTATATGGTTGCACAGAGCTGACTTAATTCAGAAATCCATGATTCAGCTAAATTAATTTACTTGCCTTGCATTTCTGTCCTGCCACTTTCCAAGTTGGTTTTTTTTAACCGTCTGTTTAGTTCCACCAAAATCTCTTACTAATCCATTCCTAACATTAATTACTCTTGGGTTCAGGCATTTTTCCCTGTAACTGTACTTAAAATGATAACAGCCAGGAAGTGAAATATTTTACCAGAACCCTCTGAAAACCTTTATAATGCTAGACACAGAAGGATATTCCAGCAACTTGAAAGAAGTTAAAGCCTGACTAAGAGAGGGGCAGCAATTCATAACAAAGAGTAACATCTCTGCTTACTCCATCTTGGTACACTTTTGAGATTGTCATACTTTTTTTGAAACTGTGTCCAACTCAATAGGTAGATTTGGTTACTGTATATATACAAAAACCCTTACATATGCATAATTCCCATTTGAAAGAAGGTGTTACAAGCAGCTAGAAGATTTACAGAGAGGATAGTGATATAAATTAAATGTTTCCTGAATCAGAACATGTTTCAGAAAGTTAAGAAGAAAAATGAAAAGGAAGCATATATATATATATATATATATATATAAATAAATAAATAAATAAATACACACCTCCCCAGGACTGTCATGGCTTCTCCATCATCTTTGCAATTCAGCAGCTTGTCCACATTAGCCTCCAGCACAGCCAATGCTAACTGGAATATCACCTTTATTCCTTCACAGAAGAAACAGTCCACCACAACCACAGCACTCTCAAATGGCATTACACTGAGAAACAGAGTAAGGAACCAGGAGAGGGAGATGGTGGAGATAACACCTAAGTCCTGCATACAGTCATAAAGCTGTGGAACGTAGTCCCGAGCCAACTCTTCAAAAACACCTTGATCTACCAGAGCACCTGTTGGAAATAAGTGATGTTAGGCACATACTAACATTAGCTCAGCTGCTGAATACATACAGCCATCTAGAAAAAAACATTAAGAACCTCTTCTGAAACTTGTATGCATTTATACATCATTCCTATTGTTAACTTGCAATGTGCATAGTTTTCTTCAGGGTGGAAAGAACTAGATGGGCCAAGTGTTCTGGGGAGGGCACCTTTTTGCTTCATCCAGGATATAGGAGCAAGCGCAATAACAATATACTTGAGACTCTCCCTCACCTTTTGTCATATCAAACACTATTACATATGGCAAGCGTGACCAACCCATGGCACAGATGCCGCAAGAGGCACAGGTAGCCTCTGAGCGTCTCACGTGGCAGCACAGCAGCAGATGGATTAGGAAGCAGAAAGCAAAGCAGCAAATCAGGCAGGGAGCACAGGGAAAGAAACAGAAAGCAGAATAGCAGATCTAGCTGGAAGCATAAGGCTGGGAACAGAATGCAGAGCAACAGATTGGGCAGGGGAAGGAAACTGCAGAGGTACTTGGGAAGGGTGCAGGGCTAATGTCTGGCACATCTGCCAAAAAGGTCAGCCTCTACTGATGCAGGGGTTAGCTGTTTACAAAAACCTATTTAGAGTAAATAGGGGTTTTTCTTGGTCTGAGGCGGGTGTCAAAGATATGGCCTGTCAGCTTGATCCAGCTTTTGGAGCCTTATCATCCAGCCTGCAATGCCATTTGTCCATACATGCAGTGCACTTATGAAAGACCAACCGAGCTTGTCTGCTGTGGGCTTCACACAGCACACAGTGGCTCCAGCCCCAGCACTGCATGCAGCATCTATGCTGGACTGGCCTTACACACTGGATCCACGGATGGTCCAGATCAGGCCCATAGAGTGGCCCTACACACTGGAGCTAGCATCCTGGGCTAGTCTGGTGTGGGTCCTACATGCAGCATGTGCTCTAGCCTGGCCCTATGCACCATAGCTAGTGCATGTCCTGGACCAGCCCCCCATACTACATGTGGGGCTGGCACATCCTGCATGCAGTACGTGGGGCTATTCCAGGGCACATGGTTCATGTGGTACTCACACCGGGCTGGTCCTGCAGACTGGCTCTAGTATGTGGGGCCAGCCTGTGAACCCAAACTGACCTACAAACTGGCCTCACACCCCTCATCCAGCCTGTGGGCCTGGATGAGTTTGACACTTCTAGGTCCCTAAACCCACCATTAATGGATTTGTTTTAGCATCACAGGATTGGTAGCAGTGGAGGAGGATGCATCCAATCCCCTAAAATATACACAGAGGCAGATATTTAACTTCCATCAACAGTGCTCCCTTCACACAAGTCAACACCCATAGGCTTGTGTTTTCTTTTCTTCCTTTCAGTCTCTGACAGTTCCTTTACGTTCAATTGACGTTAAGCTTTTGTGTTTGTTCATCTCTGTATAATTCACCCCCTCTTTTTCCCCAGAACTCTGCAATATCAATCTAATATAAAATCTAATACAAATCTTGCTATCGTCTATTTCTACTTTTAAGTTTATTCCAAATTTGTTTTTAAGTGAAAGTTCATACAACTTGCATTTCTTTAACTTTCAAAAACAAGTTTCTCAAACTTTCTGAAGGCAGGCGTTTTTTGTTTGTTTAAGCAAATTCCAAGAATTTCTACCAAATTTCTACATAACCATCAGTTTCCCTTCTCCCTTGCAGAACAGTGACTTGATAGGATAACTCTTCCATTGCTAAAACTTCCCAATTTTTAAAAAAACTATTCAGTGATTTTAGGGGCATAACCTCCCTTTCAGGCTTTTGCAACCTTAATTCTTGCAGTCACTAGAAGATGCGTGATTGCTAGTTTTGGGTTTTTTTTAAATTAGTAAAGTGAATGTAATACTTGTGAAAGTTGCCTGTGGCAGCACAGAAAGCTAGAGGATTTTGTCCACAGAACATGTACTACATAGGCAACAGCAATATAAGCATTTCCACCCTTACCAATAATGGCTTAAACATATCTGGTAAAACCATCTCCAGGGTTGAGTGGGCAGCCCAAGTATCATTTTTGCTAGCAAAGACACCAATAAGTAATGATTTTTGTCATAGGAAATGAAAGGGAAAGATCAATTTATTTCATGCAGGTAGTTATTACTGCCATTTTAGATGCATGACCTGGAAGGGAATCAAGCTGCCCAAACCCCAGCCTCTCTAACATTAATTTTCTATTTCCATACTCTGTTCTCAACATTTCTAGCCTGATTGCTTCAAGCCAAATGAAATCCTTAGTAGAATTCCATCTTAATTCAAGCAGGTAAGAAGTTAACACGGACCAGAAATATCTAATTAGGTAGCTGCTTTTAAGCCTCTGAGGTGGCTCCCTCCTCGCCACTTCTGTTCACATACCATCCATTGGTTTCAGTACCAACATCTGGAATCCTGTTCTGTGAACTGTGCATTTTTTTTGATAAATTCTCCTCAACCTACCAACAACCCTTGTGTTGTAGTAGTCTGGCAACATGCGTTCACACAAAGCCACAAGCAACCAGAAAGCTTCTTCCTCTTTTGCATACAAAAGGAGTACTGAAGTGACAATGTTCATGGCCTGCAAGAATGGGGAGAAAATATGCATCAGTATACATCATTTCCCAATTCCCTTGCTATGTCTAGTGCTGCAGGGATTGGGCAGATCAAGATTTATCCTAGCTCGGAAGTTTATATCTTAATTCAGCAAGCCAAGGTTTTTCCCTATGAAGTACAGCTAATGTTTCCTAATGTTCCTGAATGGGAGAGACTTCAAAACATTTGAAAACCAAGGCTTTGTACATTATTGCTTCTTTTCACAATAAGTTTATGGTTCTGAATGGAAAGTCTCAATAGTGCCTGTGTGTCCTACCATGGGAGGTGCTTCCTTTCTTTGAGCACTTATGAAAGAATTGAGCTTCATCCACAATACCGTGTGGGACTCCAGACAATGCAACTGCTGCAACTCTCTTTGCAGGGAAGCTGCGTTTTCCCCTATGCTAGCTAATAGAAGAGATGGCTTCCATATGCCAGCAGAAATCCTTGTGGCACTGCTGCTCTTGAGCTGTCTGGAGTTAAGTGGAGTAGAAGTCTGCCACTATAATCACTCCCCAAGGGAACACAAATGCGTTTCATTCCCCCAGTTGCATTATTTACAAGAAAGGTCTTTAGTATCTATTTCTTCAGAAATGTGGGTGTGGCTCAGAAGCTATTCTTCAATTTTTTGAGGCAGCGTTCAGAGCTGCAGCCATTACATCAGCAAATATGGTGCATTTCTTTTTCACTCAATGCACTTGAGAACACATCTGTACCATTAGCACAGGTACTTGCATGCAGCTTTACTGAAACCAGTAGGACTCTGTGTAGGTGCAAGAGTCTGTGTCAGTGTAACTCTTTACACAAAGAAGACACCCAAGTGCTCGTATGCACAATCAAATGTATGAACCGCATATATTGGTATCCAATCACTGACTGAAAGCAAAAAAAACCCCCGAACAGATGGGAACTGGAATGCCAGATCTCGAAAGAGTGACAAGACACTGCAGTTACCTGACAGTATCCTATGCTTGGATTTCTAAAAGCATAAGCTGTTAAGACTCTCCTCAGGGCAGCAATGCCCATCTCATTCTGGAAGGCAGGGTGCTCTGGCAAAGAACGGTGCAAATCTCTCTCAATTTCTTCTGTGGCAAGGTTGTACTTCCCCATGGATTTCTCCACAAGGTCTTCATAATAGCCGGGGTGAGTGGCCATCTCATTAATGGCTCCTAGTAGCAAGACAGAACAACATAAAAACAAGATATGTAAGCAAGGGTGAGTAGACATCATACAACAGAACAATGTTCTTTGTCCTCTCCTTTAACTCAGACATTTTGAATGGTAATTTTTAAAACCCAAGCAAGCAGCCTGAAAATACACATTGCATTATCATTTTAAAGAGGATCAAATCTGAATGGTATTTAGTCACTAAAATGCCAGCTGGTTGCCTTCCTTCGGATAAGGTGGTTTCATATAAGCCCTTTCCCTTGGTAGGGCTGAAACGCTGAATGTATGCAAGAATGGCAGATCTTCTACAGTGCTCCTCCACAAGCAGGGAACTATCCTTCTGCCAAGAGTGAGAGCAGTAGCTCACTGGCAGACTCCTTCCTGGCTGGCTCCCCAGTTTCATGTAGACTACCATGGCAATGCTGCATGTTATATGTATTAGACGCAGAATATACCTGACAGTTCTACAGAACTTTTCATCTTCTAGTTAAAGTTTAAACATTCTCATATTCTGCCTGATGAGTATGGTGTACAATACTTATTTTAAAAAGATATGGAGAGAGGCAGAGAAGTTAAATGACCTGCCTGTAGACACCAAAACAGTCCCTGTCAAGAGGCAGGAGTATAAATCCTTGTTGTGTGTTCAGACCCTTAGAATGGATCACACCTTTCTCAGCCACAACATCCACATTTAAAACTTCAGCCTTTACTCTTCCTGGTATACCTGCTCCTGGCCAACTCCATAAATTGGAACCATATTCGTAACTAGTTTAGAAGACAACTTTCCTGTAATGTGAGCTAATTTCCCCTTTTCAATTTATCCCCCAACTTCCTCTGTTCAATCAAGTAACACATTTAACAGTAGGGAGATACAGAAGTAAAACAGACATTAAAAATCAGGGCACCCCAACTGTGAGCATACAAGGGCCACAACGTCAACTCACCAAGAGACTGATGGATGCACTGAATTTCTATACAAATGAACAAATTGTGAATGCCCAAATTGTACAGGTAAAAATAGCAGTTGCATGACCCAGTTCTCCTTTTGACCATCATTAGTATTAGAGCCAACCAAAGCATCTTTTCCTTTGTGCCCCCATCCAATATTTGGTTATAGTTTGATATATAGTTACACTTTTTGGTTATTATTTTCATTTTAGAAAGTGAATCCACTTTACACAGGCAAAGGACATATTTAAATATTTAACTGATAATTAATACTCCAAAAGCAAAAAGCCAAGGGACTGAGTGATGTTCAAACTACACACCAGAGTCAATCAAAATTGGAATAGCCATTTAGAAGTCAAAATGACTGAAAGTGCGACTCCCATAGATCTTCCATTACTCAAAAAGGGCAGGTTTATTTTAAGAATTTGTAAAGACTTTGACTAGCTCTACACAGGCATATTTGTTGCTTTCTTCTTGCTCTAAGTTTTCATTGAAACAGTTTTTACTTCTGGGATGTCAAACCACTGCAAGTTCTTTAGGGCAGGGACTAAGTTCATATTATGTTTTGTGTAGTTTATGGATCAGATTTTTTAAGGTACTGAGATGTCTAAATATGCAGACAGATACCTACAGGATTTTCAAATAAATAAGTAAAGTGTGTTAGGCACTTTACTCATGCTGATTTCAAAGTCAGACATGTAATCTACTTTAAATACTTCTGACAATGCCACTAGGCAAACATCTTCCTCTTCATGCTCCTGAATACATTTGAAAACCTGGCCAACTGTTTCTTCTCATGCATCTAGGTCATATTCTATGGCAAATTTACCCCAATACCCACCTGAAAGCAGCAGCCATAGTTCCCCTCTCATGATTTCTGGAATGCCTTTGAGCACAAGATCTCTAGTTTTTTCAGTACGATACATACAGACACCCTGTCCATACTCAGCAAAGTGAATCTTCCAAGCTTGCTCTTTCAAAAACTCTTTTGCCTAAAAGTAGACATAGAAATGAACAATGAAGAGATGTAGCATCTTGGTTATATAAAACATCAGAAAAAAGCGAAGTGCCAAAGCCCTCAATTTTCTTTAGTCACTGTGGTGGTATAGGAAGGGAATAGTCTGCCAGTAACCCAATTCTGTAATTTTGTTGTGCTGCCTTCTGCCATTGCTTACTATTTTCCAACTAAGAACCACTTTTGAAAACAGGTACAGAACCAAAAATTAGATGACAAATATTATCCTGACAAACTACAGAAAAACACACAGCTATAGAAAAGATGTCCTGACATTCTCCTTTAATATTAAGTACATTATTATACTTCCTGCCATGCTTCAGAACTTTGACATGACATCAAATACTAGCAGGCTTCACTACTTGAGTTCTCCAAGATCCCAGCTACCACACTGATAGTCGCACTTCAAGCTGCTACTGGACAGCAACAGGTTAAAGATTAGGAAAATATCGTTACTTAAAAACAATAACTTTATTTAAACAGCCACATATTTCTCACTAGCATAATTTACAAGGATAGCAGAGATCTACCAGTTTGGGGTTGAATTCCTCAGGTGACCGCTGTCGATACATAGTCATTAAAGCCTGCGTCACTGTTGGAATACCATTGCCATTCAGATTGAATTGTCGTTCTCCATCTGTTTCAGAGCTGAGGCTCCTTTGAGGGCTGGAGGAAACTATGCTATTTGGCCTTGTATACATCTGCAAAAACCAACAGTCATATTATGACAGACAACACCCACACAATGCAAGGTGCTGCACAAAAAAACCCACAATCTGCAATATCTGAATTTTAACTATGTTTTGACATAGATCAACTGGATTAATTTGAGATGAAGGGCTGTATAAAATTTCAGCATTCTACAAATTTTATGAAAGTTATTTATATATTACACATACACACTCCCCCATTTATGCAAATCAAATCTGTACTTAAACATGCTGATTACTTCATATATGACTGAAAACAAGCCTTTACATCAACAGAGTAGTATATACAATAGTACACTTATTCATTTAATATAACCCATTGCAGAAGAAATTTTAGATAGGCAGAAAATGATTCCCCAATGGGGATTTTGCCAGGAGACTACAGTTAACAAATTTCCTTTTACAACAAACTAATATAGAATTTTCAATAAATGACTTTGATTGTAAAGATTTATCTGGCAACCAGCACAGAGGTGCTTAGTACAGTGCTCTGGGATGGACTGAGTATTGATTGAGAACATGAGTTCTACATACATAAGAATAAAATTACTTCCTTCAAAGACCTATTTTTTTTCCTTCAAGGCCTGACCTGCAAAATCGTCCTTAGTCTTACAGTGTGGATGAATTCACAGCCTGAAGCATCATGGCATAGTTTTTATTCAAAGTGAAATGAGAGTACAAATACTGGAGGTTTATTTGCAAAGTGCCTTATCTTATATAATAACATAACTAACAAAGCCTATTTTTAAATGACAAAAGGACTGCTACAGGGATGTATGTGGCAGTCGTGTTGGTCTGAGACAAATCTAGAACTCTTGGTTCCAAAATGATACCTTTATGAGACTAACTGAGAAAGTGCAAAAAAATATCTTTTTCTACAAGCTTTTGGGTTCATGTGCCCTTTGTCAGGCTCAAGGAAAGTTCAAGATGGTAAGAGACTCTCATGGACCCAGAGGGACAGTTTTCCAGCTTCTGCTTCCTCTGTGCAAAAATGAAATGTATTTCCTACATATGACTTTTTACCATCTTGAACTTTCCCTGAGCCTGATGAAGGGCACATGAGCCCCAAAGTTTGCAGAAAAAGATTTTTTTTCTTTTGCAATTTCTCAGTTGGTCTAATAAAAGGTATCATTTCAGATTTATCATATGAAGAAGTTGACAGTTTTATGTAACAGCTGAAAACTCTCAAAATGCTTGACTATGCCCCAAACCTTGCCAAGAACTTTTTTCCCCCAACTACTCAGTTGGTCTAATAAAAGATATCACATCTAACCAAAGAACCCTGCCTGCCTAAGAAACCCTAGAATTTATCTATAACTGACAAGGCGAAGTATACATTAAATTTTTACTGCATGTTTCAAGATGTGCAGCAATTTTAGAGCATGGCAACAGTGATTTAAGTAGCTACTGGACAGCAGTGGCGGTAGATATTCAATGATCAGTTAAGGGTCTTATTTAAAAGCTGGCAAAGAGTCATTATTTGAACGTCTGACCTTTTACCACGTGAGCAGACTAAACTGCAGGAAAGGACTCAGTAGTTTGTAATGTAGG